GCCTGTCGATGCACCTCGCGTCGAACTGCGTCTGCATCTTCGTCAGCTTCTCCTCAAAGGACTGCAACGTCAGGTCGAGCCTGCCAAGCTGCGCCTAGAAATGGTGGAGCGATGCACCTGCGCACGGCGGGCTGACTTCAAAATCTGTCTTTATGTTCTTCATCTGCAGTTCCTTCCTGGCGTCGGCGCCGCCCGTCTCGTCTGCCCTGTCCGCGAATTCCTGCTGCATGTCAACCTGCAGGCCCACATCCGAGTGGCCAGCAGTGCTCTTCAGCTTGTTGAGCTTCCCGAGGCGCGATGCCACTGGGCCAGCGCTCCTGTCACTCAGGAGGGCTTTGGCCTGGCTGACGCTGAGCTCCGCGGCGAGGCCCGCGCCGCGTCGCCGAGCTGCACCACACGGACCTTCAGCAGCGCCGCCAGCTGCACCAACGGGACCACAGGAGGCGATGCACGCAGATCTGCGCTGCCATCTCGCACAGCTCTGGCCACATCACCTTGTACGGCCATGTTCGCCGCCGCGGCCAATGCGCTGTGCAGCTGCTTGCCGCCAAGGTTCAGCGTCGTCAAGCCCGGCACGGCCTCGAACACCACCTGCGCGGCCGGCGGGAGGCTTTCCAGAAAGTTGACCGCCATGGCACTTGAGTAATTGCCGCTTGCGAGCGTAGACACCAGTCTGACGCCTCGAGCCAAAGATGGCGACGGGCGAAGGAGGCGGCGGAAGAGGAGGAGGAGGAGGCGGCGCGGAACAGGGGGGAGACGAAGAGTGTGAGCGAGAGGAGGAGGGGGAGGAGGGGTCGGGGAGGGAGGAGGGGAACAGGGCGGAGGCGACCCGCTAGCTGTCGACCTCTTCCCTCTCCTGACACTCCGCCTCATGAGGAGGGACGTCGCAGACTGGCTGTTCCGGCAAGGAAGCCACCTGTCAGGCTTTGTTCGGGCCTCCTGGGGCCTGGCAGGATCGGATGGTTTGCCCTGGATCGGCGGGCAATTTGGCGTCAGTCGGACGAGCACCTGCGCTGAGGAGGCTTCTTGGGCGGCCCGTGGCAGAGCAGCGTAGCGCGCATCAGTCCGGGCAGGCGCCACACACGCGCATGGATGGATGGTTGTACGTACGCACGTGTGTATGTATGTATGCATGTACGTATGTATGTATGTGTGCATGCATGCATGCATGCATGTATATATGTGTATGCATATGTGTATTTGTGTACGTATGCATGTATGTTTGGATGTATGTATGTATATATGCCTATGTATATGTATATATATAAAATACAGGTGTCTGCCTGTCGGTCGGTCTGTCTGCATGTATGCATGTATGTATGTATGTGGTGACGCATGCATGTCTGTATGTAGGTAGACATATAGGTAGGCAGGTAGGTAGGTATGTGTGCATGCTTGCATGCGTATATGAATGTATGAAGATATCTATGTATAGACGCATGGATGTGTGTATGCATGCATGCATGTATGAGTGTGTGTGTAGGCATGTACGTATGCATGCGCGTATGCATGTATATGCATGTATGTGTGTGTATGTATGCATGAATGCATGAATGCATACATGTATGCATGTATGGGTATGCACGTGTATGTGTATGTCTGTATGGATGGATGCATGTATTCGTGTATGGGTGTACGTATGTGTAAATGTGTGTGGATGTGTATATATGTATACATGTGCGTGTGTATGCCTGCGTGCGTGTATGCGTGTACGAATGTGTGTATGCATGTATGTATGAATGTATGGATGCTGACATGCATGTATGTATGCATGTATGTATGACTGAGTGCATGAATGAACGTGTGTCTACGTATGGATGAATAGATGCATAACATGCATGCATGTATGGATGAATGGATGTATTGGTATATGGACTGATGGATGGATGGATGGATGTACGTATGTGTGTATGTACGTGTGTATGTGTACGTGTCTGTAGATGCGTATGACCCTGAAGGCACGGCTAAAATCCGTTGGCGTGGGGTTGTGTATGTATGTTCGTGGCGTCGGCGTGATCGATTCATGCCAGCAGGCGGGCTGTCGGTGGTAGTTGCGATGGCCACGCCGCAGGTGTTCACCCACAAGCGCACGCGGTCTGTGCGGAGCAGCCCCGTGCAGGAGTAGCTGAAGAGGGCTCTCCGTGCACTTCCGCTGCATCCTCGGGGGACCTTTGTACCTCAAAAGTGGTGCTTGTTCTCGCGCCCGACGCAGGCTCGATGCGGGCTCGACGCGGATGTGGCGATGATTCGACGCGGATTCGACGAGTTCAACATGGATTCGGCATGGATTCGACGCGGACAGGGGCGCGATGGGACACACAAGGTCCCCCGAATATGTAACATGAGTGCACTTACCGATGCAAAAGGCAGTGGTGGTTATCAGCTCCTCGCCTCGTTGAGGCGCAGAGTCGCCAGGCCAGTTGGCCAGTCTCCAGGGCCAGTTGGTCGGTTTGAATCGTCGTTTAAATGCAGCTGGCCGCCAGAGCAGTGGCGTGCATCTCTCGCCGCACAGGCGGCCGAGCGGATTTGAAGGCTTACGCGGGCCAGCAGCCAGTTGGACTGCTGGGAGCGGCTCCCGCGGATCACCCGCGCCGAGGCCGACTTTGGCGGGCACGGCCCCTGCCAGCGCCCAGCTCGTCGTGGGCCGCAGGTTTCTCAGGCCCAGAGCTGCGAGCGGGCGTCGGCGGACGTGTGGCCTCGGCGGCGCGCAGAGGGTACACGCTGGTCGTTGAAAGTAGGTATTTCTGGACTCCCAGGTCCCAATCTATTTCAAGGGCCTTCCTACTTCAAGAATCGACATGCTTTTGCTGTGTTTTGCTATTATCTGGGAGGACCTGGACCCAATCCACTACATCCGCCTTCCTACTTCATGTTTCTACCTACTTCTTCCGACCGACGTGTATAGGGGGCCAGGGGGGCGCCATGAATCGAAGACCAGCCATCGGCATGAGCACAAGATTGGCATCGCTCGGACGAATATTCTGCCCGGCGAGACCAGGGCCAGAACATACAGACCAGATTGAGGCATCTGTTGGACAATCTGGATCAAGCACAGAAGAAACACGCACGAAACCAGACTACGCAAGGGAAATGGACGTCCGGGCAATGGTAAGTAATTTCCTGGAGCTCCGCGCGGCTTTCTTGGATCGGCTCTGGGTCCCCCCCCCGCCCGTGCTCCGCGCGCCAGGGAGGGTGGTCCAGCGCCAATCCAACAACTCCGCGCGGACCTCCGAGAGGTTATGATTATGCCGTCTCCTCTAGCACAGGGATCCGAGAGTTTGTCCACCTTCGGGCTCATGGGTGCCGTCCACAGGCCCCAGGACCGTCCACAAAAGCAATTCTGGATGAAGAGCTGGCTCTGGGGAGCGCCCCAGCGCCCGTGCCCTCCTCCTCCTCCTCCTCCTCCTCCTCCTCCTCCTCCTCCTCCTCCTCCCCCTCCCCCTCCTCCTCCTCCTCCTCCCCCTCCTCCTCCTCCTCCTCCTCCTTCTCCTCCTCCTTCTCTCCTCCTCCTCTCTCCTCCTCCACCTCCTCCTCCTCCTCCTCCTCCTCCAACTCCCTCCTCCTCCTCCTCCTCCCTCCTCCTCCTCCTCCTCCTCCTCCCCTCCCCCCCTCCTCCCCCCTCCTCCTCCCCCCTCCTCCCCTCCTCCCCCCCTCCCCCTCCTCCTCCCCCTCCTCCTCCTCCTCCTCGAAACAATGATCATGCAAGCTTGTGCGAAAGCACCAGGGATCTTCGAAAGCCTCCTGCCTCCAGAAAGGTCATCTCAGAAGCGACCGAGCCCAGCCACGGAGCGCCCCTGTCTTCCTGGTGGGTAGGGGCAGGAAGATCAAATGAGGCTTCTGAGGAGGTGGCTGAGGGTGTGTGTGTGTGTTTTCCCTTCTGAGAAGGCAGGATGTCTTCTCAGAAGCTCACTCCCTTCTGAGAAGGCTACCCCCCTCGCCCCACCTGCTGCGCGCTGCCAGTTGCCTGCAAGCGCGTAGGGGTTGCCTCTGGAGGGGGGGCGCCTGGGGGGGCTTCCGTTTGGTCAGCGTTGTGAAAGTGTTCGAGCTCAACCGTTCTGCGAATGTGGTTTGTTGTGTGTGTGTGTGTTGGTTATCCCCCTGTGCTTGTCGCAGATGCTTTGTGCACCGGTAGCAACTTTTTTGTTTCGATTTGATGTTATGCACAGTTCGCGCAGCTCTGAAGGAGCGAAGCGCGCCACCATGACTAGGGTAGGCGCAGTCAACCATGACAGTGCCGTCATGATTAGACCAATAAGTCGCGGAGCCATGTAGCTGTGCCGCTGCGCGATTGATGGGTGGTGCTTGCAGCAGCGCTTCCATCATTGTATGAAAGAGGGGGGAGAGGGCGATTGCCCCGGTGCTCGTCATGAACTTGCTCGGCCTTGCCAATCCATTCCAGGAGGGTCGCTGTGTCAGGGAAGCGATCATTTGGGTTGCCGCTGCATCTCCCTGCCAATGCGAGATTGCAAACGGGATCGGGATCAAGCAGGATGAGGCGAGAGTGCGATGGCACAGTTGGACAGCAGGGTAGGCGGAGCGATATGGATAAGAGTGGAGCAGCAATACCGGCTGGTCGCAAGCGCAAGCAGCGCAGAGGGAGTATGGACGTGGAAGTACTTGTCTGCTGCGCACACAGTCGCCAGTTGTGGAGCGTTGGCTGCGGCGGTCGCCTGCAGCGATGTGTACGAGTTCCGTCTGATGCGACGGGCTTCCAGGCTTCTCTGCAGGTCCTCATTTCGAATGCACAATTTTTAATTGTTTTGACTGGTGGTTCCTGTCTTTTTTTTTGAAGATATCACAGGATAGGCGTCATCACGTGGTCTTCTGGGACGCCGTCATGCTACACTCATCCGCCGCCCATCCTCGTCTCGTGCGGTAGTCGTGCACTCGCGGGCGCTCTCTAGAGGCTTGCCCAGTAACCTCATCCCTCGCCCCCCCCCTCCTTCTGCCTCCCCATAGCTCCGACGTCGTGCGCTTGTTCGCAACATGGGCCCCCAGACATCTGGACCCCTTTCCCTGGGACTGGTTTTTCATCCTGAGTCGTTTTGTTGATGGCCCCGGGGCCAGCAGGGTCCCAGGGATAGCGAAGAGTGCTCAAAACCGCCCAGCGGCATTCTTCACAACGAGGGGGGTGTCCACAGCAGGAATGTCCACAAGCAAACGAGTCGTCCATCTGTGGGCATTCCTGCTGCCCTACCCAGCCCGCTCTTCTCGCCAGCCGGGCACGCCTCCAGCGGACCCGGTAGGTGCGCCATCAGAGAGCGCCTTGGTCGATCGCGCTGGCCCGAACGAGCGCGGACCTGCGGTTGAACCTCTCATGTCGACTTTGGTGAGCACCCCCCGCGCCCCCAGTTTGAAATTGGCGGGCGGCGCCTCGATGCGTCGATGCGTCGATCTGTCGGCTGGCCGAAATCCTGCGCCCCGCTGGAGATGCCAACCAGCATCGGATCGGGGGCAGAGTGTCGCGCGCCAGCACCCCAGGCGCGCGGCGGTGCAGGATGCTGCCCATCGAGCGTGCGACGTCGGGGAGCGCTCTGATCTTCACGCTCGCCCCCTCCCCCAAGTACTCGGCGATCGGACTTTGTCGGATCGGCAACAAAACTACCCCCTCCTCCTCCTCCTCCTCCTCCTCCTCCTCCTCCCCCTCCTCCTCCTCCTCCTCCTCCTCCTCCTCCTCCTCCTCCTCCTCCTCCTCCTCGCTCGCCCTCGATGAGCACCCTGGTCTTCGCAGCCTCGTGCCCTCACGGGGAGGCCTCCGCGGGCCTTGGACGTCCCGCTATTGTGTTCTGGACATGCGGCTGCGGGCCGTTCGGCCAGAGTCGTCGAACGGATTTCTGCTCCCCGTGGCGAAAAAATGGCCTGCGCGGGATCTCAATCAGACAAGCCAGTCGTCCTCCTCCTCCTCTCGGCCTCGTCTTCCTCCTCCTCTCCCTCGTTCCCTCGTCGCCCTCCAAAAAAAACGAACTCCGTCGTAACGCTCGGCGGGTGTAAAAAAAAGACAAGCCAGTCGTCCTGAGTTCTGTTAGGGTCGCCCGACGTCGGAGTCCAAGATGTTTCGAACTCCGGCCCCGTTGTTCAATTTGCGCCTCTCGCAGCCCTCTCGACCCCTGCCCGAGGACCGCCCTCTCGTCTGGGGGCATCTCTCGATCCAGGCCTCCCAGATGAGGCCAGAGCAGAGGGGGTCGGAGGATCGCGCCATATCGCCGATGCATCGGCGACGCGGCGCGATCGGGAGTCCGGTACTCCAGGTTTCGTAATAAAGGGAGGGGGGTCTCATTTCGGGGGGGGTCTCTTCCAGGCTATCTTGGAGGGCCTGGGGGGTCTGGGGACGATGTTTTGGAGGGTTCTCCCACGGGGGGGGGGTCTGAAATGGCTTGTCTTGGAGGGTCCAGACCCCCTCCCTTCTATTGCGAAGGCCTGACGGCCGGTGCCGCCGACCCTGTTCGCAATGCGCAGCAAGAGATTACGAGGTTGCTCAAGGTCGGCTTGGCTGGAGCCCAGGGGAAGAGGAGTCCCAGGGGGGGGCGTCGTATCTGACCCGGGGGGGGGGTCGCTACCCCCCCCCCCTCCCGGCGGGGGAGGGATCAAAGGGAAGGGGCTTCCCTTCGACTCAATTACGAGGTTGCTCAAGGTCGGCTTGGCTGGAGCCCAGGGGAAGAGGAGTCCCAGGGGGGGGCGTCGTATCTGACCCGGGGGGGGGGTCGCTACCCCCCCCCCCCCTCCCGGCGGGGGAGGGATCAAAGGGAAGGGGCTTCCCTTCGACTCAATTACGAGGTTGCTCAAGGTCGGCTTGGCTGGAGCCCAGGGGAAGAGGAGTCCCAGGGGGGGGCGTCGTATCTGACCCGGGGGGGGGTCGCTACCCCCCCCCCCTCCCGGCGGGGGAGGGATCAAAGGGAAGGGGCTTCCCTTCGACTCAATTACGAGGTTGCTCAAGGTCGGCTTGGCTGGAGCCCAGGGGAAGAGGAGTCCCAGGGGGGGGCGTCGTATCTGACCCGGGGGGGGGGTCGACACCCCCCCCCCCCTCCCGGCGGGGGAGGGATCAAAGGGAAGGGGCTTCCCTTCGACTCAATTACGAGGTTGCTCAAGGTCGGCTTGGCTGGAGCCCAGGGGAAGAGGAGTCCCAGGGGGGGGCGTCGTATCTGACCCGGGGGGGGGGTCGACACCCCCCCCCCCTCCCGGCGGGGGAGGGATCAAAGGGAAGGGGCTTCCCTTCGACTCAATTACGAGGTTGCTCAAGGTCGGCTTGGCTGGAGCCCAGGGGAAGAGGAGTCCCAGGGGGGGGCGTCGTATCTGACCCGGGGGGGGGTCGACCCCCCCCCCCCTCCCGGCGGGGGAGGGATCAAAGGGAAGGGGCTTCCCTTCGACTCAATTACGAGGTTGCTCAAGGTCGGCTTGGCTGGAGCCCAGGGGAAGAGGAGTCCCAGGGGGGGGCGTCGTATCTGACCCGGGGGGGGGGTCGACACCCCCCCCCCCTCCCGGCGGGGGAGGGATCAAAGGGAAGGGGCTTCCCTTCGACTCAATTACGAGGTTGCTCAAGGTCGGCTTGGCTGGAGCCCAGGGGTTGCTCAAGGTCGGCTTGGCTGGAGCCCAGGGGAAGAGGAGTCCCAGGGGGGGGCGTCGTATCTGACCCGGGGGGGGGGTCGCTACCCCCCCCCCCCTCCCGGCGGGGGAGGGATCAAAGGGAAGGGGCTTCCCTTCGACTCAATTACGAGGTTGCTCAAGGTCGGCTTGGCTGGAGCCCAGGGGAAGAGGTCTCCCAGGGAAAGGGAAGGACAGAGACGACGAGTACAAAGAATGACGGAGATGACGGCTCGAACGGAAAAGCCCCTCACACACGCCGACAGGGTCGGCGGATTACAAAATCTGGAGTATCCTCCGTCCTGGCGTCGCTGGTGCATCGGCGGTAGAGACCCCGTCTACCCTGGCCCAACTCATAAGGCCTCCACCTGACGCTTGGCATCGCTCGGACGTGTGCATGTTTCCTTCGGCGAGGACCATCGAGGAGCATCCTCGACCATTTGGCGAACAAAAAACACACGAAACCAAACAAACACAGTGAATGGACGTCCGAGCGATGGCCAGGACGGGCCCAGAACATATGCGCCTTCCTTTGCGGCAGAAGACCCTAATGGAGCAGCTGTGCACAGTTTCACGAAGGCGGGCCAAGATGGTGGGGGGGCAAGATAGGGGTCACGATGGAGGGACCACGACGGGCCACCGATTTCCGGGGCCTAGTCTCCCCCACCAGGCGTTAGAAGCATTGGATGTTTCCTTGTCGGGACTTTCCTGGTGCCCACCCGTCGGATATGTTCGAGCCTGTTTCGATTCAAGCTAGCAAGTTCGGCTCGAGTCGACGAACGTTCGACGCATCATCCGCGCACGAGTAGAGCGAGAGGCCCCAGGAGGGTCTCAAGAGCAAACATCTAACAAGCATTACGGGCGGCGACCCCAGCGCCGGCGTTCAAGGTTGAACGCCGCCGGCGACCCAGAATCGATCGATGTTGAACGATCGGACGTTGCGGCAGCGGCCGATCGTTCAAGGTTGAACGATCTTCGCGGCGTCAGGGACCAACGCTGGGGTCGGCACGGCACAAATCTGCCGGACGCACGCATGGAACACTTGCAGACGTACTGCCCAGGGCAGAGCTGGGCCTCCTCAGCGGGGGGTCGGAGCAGAGGGGCGCCGGAGGACCGCGCCCGATCGCCGATGCATCGGCGATGCGGCGCCTCCTCCTCCCTCCTCCTCCTCCTCCTCCTCCTCCTCCTCCTCCTCCTCCTCCATCCTCCTCCTCCTCCTCCATCCTCCTCCTCCTCCTCCTCCTCCTCCTCCATCCTCCTCCATCCTCCTCCTCCTCCTCCTCCTCCCTCCTCCTCCTCCTCCTCCTCCTCCTCCTCCTCCTCCTCCTCCTCCTCCTCCATCCTCCATCCTCCTCCATCCTCCTCCATCCTCCTCGACGGCTCCGATGCATCGCCGACGTTGCCGATGCATCGGCGATGCGGCGCCATCCTCCGGCCCCATCTACTCGGACACCATTTGGGAGGCCTCTGCATTGACGGGCGACGAGCGGTATACTGTAACATCTATGTTTTTCGCTGTCGGGGGTGCCTGTCCCTGGGCGGCTGGCAAGTTTATACCCCTACGGTGGCACCGTAGGGGTAGAAGCTTGCCAGCCGCCCAGGGACAGGCACCCCCGACAGCGAAAAAGTTTATTTTTCATACCGCCCTTCGCCCGTTGACATGTGGGAGGCCTCTGTAAGAGGACACGGGCCGCCCACACGTGCTGGCGCCCGATCCTCGGCGGGCGGCCGTCGACGACTCTTCCTTCCAGAGTTCACGCCTCTGCGCCCGGGCCGCCGTCGCTGCGCCGGGGCGCGTCTACGAATTCGCACGCGCGGGGGGGCCGGCAGTCGAACGGGGCACCGGACCCCCCCAATGGTCCAGGCCTCCCAAACTTGGATCTCCGACTTCTCAGTCCTGACGTTTTCCCCCAAGTTCGGCCCCTCGGGCCCGCTGTCGGACCCGGGATGACAGACATGACGCCCGGTGGACGGGTCGGGCCCTTTGGGGCCGCGGACTGAAGGAACCATGTCGTCGGATGTCTGGGGACGGGGTCCGAGCACATGGGGTCAGAGGATCACGCCGCATCGCCGATGCATCGGCGATGCGACTTGGTGTGGAGCCTGGTTTTATCCACGATGTGTCGGCGATGAGGCACGATCCTCCGACCCCGTCTGCGCGGACAACATTTGGGAGGCCTCCGCATGAGCTTCCCGTGGCGGGGCCAGACCCCGAGGAAGAGAGAGAGCGACATGAGCGCACAACTGTTCGTAGGGCCGAGCGCACTGCTTGGATGTGCGTTGGGCCCCCCCGGGCCGCGCCTCTGGTGCCACCCGTGGCGCCTTCAGCGCGCCGGGGCAGGGGTCAAGCGCCGATCCAAGAAATCCGCGCGGACCTCCGAAAGTCTTCGTATTAAGATATGTCGTAGTTTCTTGTTCGGATGGTTACTATGATTATTATACTCCTACCTCCTGCTCGTCCTAGTGCATGTTCGGGCTGGGCCGAACTCGGCGCTGGTTCTGAGACCGCGTGGGTTCGTTAAACCTTGAACGATCGCAGCATTTCGATAGCGCAGATCGTTCATTATGGACAGGTTCTGGGCTGCTGGCGACGGTCAACCTTGAAAGCCCGCGTGCACACGACACGAGTCCTGTTGACGAAGCGGCGACGCCGGCAAGCGCGCCACCAGCGGCCCCGAATTGGCCGATATCGATTGGTCAGCGCTATCCGAAAGCTTCGATTGCCAAATGCTGAGCAATTCACGCGGCGTCAGAAACCAACGCCGACGTCCTCTCGACACGAGCTTGTCGTGCTCGCTTCGGCGGCGCGCACAGGGGGGTGGGCGAGGGGGTGGCCTCCCTAGAAGGCAGAGTGAACAGTTAACAAAAAAGGCAGAGTGTTTCTCTAGAGTGGCGCACGGCCTCCAAGAAGGCCTCCCAGAATGCAACCCGTGGGGCGTGAAATTCAGCATCGGCGCTGGTATACCAGTGGTCGAATACGAGCACGAGGGGGCTTAATCGAATGCCAGTAAGTAAGTCACGCAAGGTTCGCTCGTCGTTATCCGCCGCGCGGCTGTAGTAGGTAAGTCATCCAGGTCCAGCCCGTCGTTCGTCGCGGCCACCACTTGACTTGAGAGCGCGCCGCCCGTCGTTCGTCGAAGTCGTCCAGTCTGGACGCGTTCCTTCCGCCAGCTGTTGTCGTTCGCTCACCTGCGCGCCAGAGAACCGCCGCCTCTGAACCGCCCTCGCCGTCGAATTGGCGCCACTAGGTCTGCAAAACCAAGTGAATGGCATGGAATGGATTGTTTTTTCGCTCGTCGTTCCAGCCGGGTGGTTTGATTCGGTTCAAACGGTGTGTGTTCGTTTCTTCAGTTGGGGCGAGTACGAGTGTGGTGGAGGAGTGATTTGTCGATTTGTGAAGGGGCTTATGCATTGTGGTTCGAAAGTTGATGTGTCGTTATTCTTGGTTTGTGGGTTCAATGTGTAGAGACCCCCCTAATATACAAGCCTGATTCAGCGCAACCCAGCTCAACCCAGCTTACTCCTGCTTAGTGTGGCTCGATCAAGGCTTAAATCCGGCTCAATCCCGCCGGGTTCAATCCGGCTTTATCGGGCTTAATGGTTTCTCATTACGGCTTAATCGCCATTCGCCGTTCCTGCGATTGTTTCCCAGGAGGTGCTTCTTCCGCCTCCCAGATGGCAGGAGGGCTTCGAGGTTGCCCCTGGCCGCTACTTCTCGCGTCGCCTCCACTGCGCGCCGCCAACCTCTCTTCCAGACAGAAGCTTGTCACTACTCTCAACCTGCCCACCTCGGCGGCGCGCCGAGGGGGGAAGTGAAAGGGAACAGGCCTTCTCAGTAGGCGGCGTGGCTCCAGAGACGGCCCAGAAAGCTTCTCGGAAGGCTGGAGGCCGTCTGAGAAGGCCCGCCCACTCCACATTCCCCCCTGGGCGCTCCACCGATACCTGCTCCACTCTCCTACCTCATCCCCCACACCCACTCCCACTCGTCCTACGCACTACGTATCCGACTACACGCGGGGAGCGCCAACTATCCACCTCCCTGACCCCGGCCAGGTCCACCGTGGGCTCAGGTTCTGTGCATGCACCCTCCTGGCTCGGTCAGGTCAGCAGGTGCACCGATCCCGGGCCCGTGATCGGCACGGCCAGAAACGGCGGTGTGGACACCCAGACCCCCGACGTCTGAACTCGTCAACACGACGGGAGAGGGAGACAACTGGTGGACACTCCCCCGCCCCTCAGAACTCAAAGCTGGCACGCGCGGGGAAGACTGCGGTCGAAGTGCAACGCACCCAACCCACCGCCGAGACAGATCATGGGGTGCGGCATCGACACATGAGTGTGGCACGAGCGTTCGCTCCGAATGTCTTCCGAGGCCTGGATGTCCTGGACATCCTGACCCGGGGCACGTCTTCGAGGGCCGTCTTTTGACTGCGCCTTGGACTGGCAAGGGCCCCCTGCTAAAACGCTCCCGTCGTGAATTTTGCACGGCGCGAGGACCTTGCGAGCCGACGACGCGAGAAAAATTAGCGAAAAATCGCGACCATATCCCCGGACCCTATGATTCATGTCTGGGCATGTCATGATAGCTTCAGGAGGGGAAAAAAACACAGACACAATTAATCGTCGACCCCCCAGAAAATATGGGAACATATGGGAAGTGGGGGGGAAGACAGAAACCCAGAAAATATAGGAAAAGATGGGGAATATTTCTATTTGTGTGTATTTATGTGTGTGTGTGTGTGTGTCCTGAGGCCCCTTCATTGACGGAAAATGCCAATGCCAGGATGTCTGGGCATGTCATGATAGTTGACGTCCTTCGAACAAGTTCTTCTCTTACCAGCCGTTTCTTGCCTGAGCGGCAGGGAGGGCACTCGCCCGCGCGGGAGGCCGCCCAGCAGCACGCCAGGCGACGCCGAGTGTAGTAGAATCCACGCAACGCCCGCGCAATCGGTGCCAGCCGGGAGAGGGAAAGCTTGTGATCCCATCGCCACGATCGTTGGTTCAAAGATGGGGTCCCCAGGTATGGGGTCCTAGGGACCAGGTGCCTCAGACAATTTAGATCCACCCTTGGATGCCTTTCTATCCGCAGGACCCCGTCCCTCAGGACCCCATCTCTGAACCACCGACACGATATTCCAGGCCTCCCAAATGCGGTCCGAGTGAATGGGGTTGGAGGATCGCGTCGCATCGCCCATGCATCGGCGAGACGGGTCGATGTGGAGCCCGATGTCCTCCGCTTCGACTTCGCCGATGCATTGCAGACGTCGCCGATGTATCGCCCATGTATCGGTGATGCATCGACGATGCGGGGCGATCCTCCGACAACATCGAATCCGACCCCATCTGGAAAGCATCTACTCAGACCCCGGCATAACACTATTCGTAGAGACCTTGAGGACCTTGGCGTTGCAATCTTTCACGCCTCGCGTTTCAGTTCGGCTTTGGGGCCACAGGGCCAATGCAGATCGACCCGGCTCGAGAAATGCCGCAGAAAGGTAGGGCCTCGGTTTTTGGTCGTGAGTTGTTTCGCGATGTAGCATTTCCTGACCATCCTGTAGTGTGGAGCCCTCGTTTTGAAGAGACAGCGCGTCGCATCCTTACTCCTCTCCTGCTCCCCTCTCATTGCATCCCTGCCTCAGCCCTCCGCATGTCAACCAATTCGGCACACCCCTCACACGCTTCGCGGCCCCATGGGGAGCTCCACCGAAGGCCCCAGTGGCAGCGTCCGCATGGCTCACCCGAACCCAATTCGGCACACCCCTCGCACGTTTCGCGGCCCCGTAGGGAGCTCCACCGAAGGCCCCAGCGGCAGCGTCCGCGCGGCGTACCCGCATCCGATTCCGCACACCCCTCACACTTTTCTCGACCTCATAAGGGGGCTGCACCGAAGGCCTCAGCGGCAGCGTCCGCGTGGCGTACCCGGACCCCGACCCCAATTCGATACACCCTCACGCGTTTCGTAGCCCTACAAGGAGCCACCATTTTGTCACACCTCTCACACATTTCGTGGCCCCCGAGGGAGCTATCCCTGGGAGACACTTAAACAAATAAAAGATCTTAAAAAATAGGGATATTAAAAAATAGCGAGCTCGATGCCGCTACTTGTTTTTACAATCCGTTATTTTTTTTACAACCCGGAGGGCCCGGTAAAAAAATAAGCTATTTGGTTTTACAACCTTTTATTTTTGTTTGGGATTTTTTTTTGTATGTTGTCTTACAATGTTTTATTTTCTTTTACAATATTTTATTTGCTTTTACAATGTTTTATTTTTTCTTACAATCTCTTTTTGGGGGGGGGACCCGGAAGCCCCCGTAACAAAAATAAGCGCCCACTAGTTTGTCTTACAATATTTTATTTGTTTTTACAACCCGGAGCTCGCCCCAGACCTCGAAGAACCTTAACCCGAACCTTAACCCCAACCCTAACCCGAACCCTCAACGCTAACTCTAAACCCGCGACCGAACCCTAACCCCAAACCCAAACCCCCGCCCAAACTGTAACCCTTAAACATAACTCTAAACCCTACCCCTGAATCCAACCAGAGCTCTAAGCCGAAGCCCGACCCCTAACCCAAACCCCGAACCCTAAACCCTAAACCCTAAACCCTAAACCCTAACCCTAACCCTAACCCTTACCCTAACCCTAACCCTAACCCAAACCGTAACCCTAAACCAAACCCTAACCCAAACCCTTAACCCAAACCCTTAACCCAAACCCTTAACCCTTAACCCTTAACCCTAACCCTAACCCTAACCCTAAATCTCTAATCCTTATGATTATTAAACCTGAAACCCGACCTCCCCATGCGTCCTTACGTCCATCCAACTTCCTGGATCGAGCCTGCCATTGGGATCTTTACGGCCCCCTATGTAAACCACCCACAATCCTATGCAAAAAATATTATAAACTGATCATGCGTGCTCCCAGGCGCACCCCTGGATCGAGCCTGCTATGGGGATCTTTACGACCCGCTATGTAAACCACACACAATCCTATGCAAAACATATTATTTCCTGATCATGCGTGCTCCCAGGCGCACTCCTGGATCGAGCCTGCTATGGAGATCTTTTCGACCCGCTATGTAAACCACCCACCATCCTATGCAAGACATATTATTTCCTGATCATGCGTGCTCCCAGGCGCACCCCTGGATCGAGCCTGCTATGGGGATCTTTACGAATGCATAGCAAAGCACGTTGAGGTCGGGCGAACCCTAGAGTGCGCCCGACCCGACCCGACCCGCTTGTTAGGGTTCACGCGTGTCAAGTGTACACGCACCATACTTTAATGTTCAGCCCGCCCGACCCGACCCGCCCGTTAGGGTCCGCCCGACCCGACCCGACCCGCCCGTTAGGGTCCGCCCGCCCGACCCGACCCGACCCGCCCGTCAGGGTTCACGCGCGTCAACTGCATTTTTTACAAGCGCAAAGGGAGCCCAGTGGCGAGGAGGGGAAGCAGGGGGGGGAGGGAGGGAGGGGCGGGGCAGGGGGGACAGCCACCGCACTAAATTAACTCGGTGCCTCCGGCGCGCCTGCGCGCGCGGCCTGGCGGGCGCGCAGGGCCACGCGCCATGCGCCCTCGCCGCCTCCGGCACGTGCCGGCGGCAGCAGGAGCAGCGCGCCCACGCGCGGCGGCAGGGCGGGGGCCCAGCCCGCGCACGGGCGTGCCGCCAAGGCGCCCCACCGCGGCGCCGTGCAGCCGCACTGCAGGCAGGCGACCCAGCCAGGCCCCTGCGAGGCGGCGTGGGCCCGCCAGGACCGCCCGCCGAATAGCGCCTGGGCGGCCTCCGCTGCGGGCTGCGGCGGGGGGTGCCGCAGGGGCTGCGGGGCCCGCGGCGCTGCCGGCTGCGGCGGCCCGCCACCGGCGGCCGCCGCGCGCCGCCGCCCTGCCGAGCGCCGGACTGTCGCCCAGCGGCGCCGCACCCGAGGCCCGCCCGGCGCGGTGCAGTCGTGGTTGGCCTTGAGGGCCGCCAGCTCGACCGCCGCCAGAGCCCGCTGGACCCCCTCCAGCGCCTGCAGCTGCCGCTCCCGCTGCTGGAGCAGTGCCGGGGCGGGCAGCCGCGCCCGCGCTGCCGCCCCAGCTAGCCTGTCGGCCGCCGCGTTGCCGGCGTGGTCCTCGTGGGGGAGCCCCCTCCCCAGCGCCTCCGCCTCGTCCAAGTGGCCCTTGACCCAGCGGGCCCTCAGCCAGTCGGCCCGGCAGTAAGGGGCCAGCCGGTCCCAGAGGTCGGCGTGCGACCACTCCATAGGCGTTGCCCCGCCCCGGAGCGCCGCCACGCCGTTGCTCACGTACTTCGAGTCCGTGACTACCTCCACCGGCCCACCAGCCAGCCCCAGCGCGTGCAAGGCAGCCGAGAGTTCGGCGCGCTGAGCCGTCTGCTCGCCATCGACAGGGCCCCCGCGCTCCAGCGTGCCAGCAGGGTGCTCCACGCGCGCCCCCCAGCCCGCCCTAGCCAGCAGGGGGTCGGCCGGGTGCACGCAGGCGACGTCGGTCCACGCCCGCGTCCGTTGGCCCGCAGCCCCCGCGGCAGCGGCGGCCAAGCTGGGCAGCGCCGGCGGCGGCAGCGGCCACGCCGCCTGGTCAGCCAGAGCGGCCAGGCGCGCGTCCCGCGGCAGGATCCCCGTCAGGGCCGCCTCCGGCGGCAGGCAAGCCCGCGCCGCCGCGGGGGTAAGCCCGGTGGTCGCGAAGGCGGCGTGCCTGGCTGAGTCCCAGCGCGGGCAATCCCAGAAGCGGTGCTGGGCGACCCCACTTCGAGGCCACGCTCTCCGTGACCACGCTGCCAGACAATGCTGTGCGCAGCGCGCCCGCGGCGTCGGCGGCGAGACGCCCCTGCTGCAGGACCCGCCGGGTTGCCCAGCGATCGACGCCGGCGGCCACGTGCCCGAACATGGCCCGGCGCCCCGCCAGCTCCCGAGCCTCCCTGCGAGCCCACGCCTCCAGCAGCACCCGCCTAGTCGCCTGCAGCCCGCGCTCAGCCGGACGCCAGCCGGCCGGCGCCTCCGGCACGCCTGCCCACGCCTCGATGTCAGCCCCCAGCTGGAGCTCGGCCAGCTCCTGGCCGCCGCCGCCAGCGGGCCGAAGCCGCGGCCGTGCCCGGCCGCCGCGGCCCCCGCGGCTTTCCGCCAGAGGGCGGCAGGGAAGCGACCTCGACGCATCGCGTTGGCCGCCTGCCACAGCGGCGCCAAGGTGACGACGGCAAGCGGGTCGAGCCGCCAGCTCGGGCTCAAGACGCCGAAGACGATCTCGGCGGAGGCCCGCAGACCGCCCCGGCACGCCGCATGCCGCGCAGCCGTCCGCAGTGCAGCGAGTTCCCTCGCCGGGGGGCGCCCGCGCGCCGCCCCATAGAGGCCAGCTGCGGTGCCGGCCGCCGCCCCGCGCAAGCAGCGGTGGCCGAAGGCCACGGGCAGGCGGCCGATCCTGGCGAAGCGGCCTGTGGCGACGCGGACCCGGGCCTTCTCGACTGCGCACCGCCTGGCAGGGCCAGCGCCTGCAGCGACCCCCAGATCGCGGAACCCCGGCCGCGAGGCCAGCAAGGGGGTTTGCTCCGCCAGCCACCGCCGGAGCGCCCCTCCATTGGCGAACTGCCTGCTCTTCCCCCAGTTGAGGCGCCAATCCATGGCCGACTCAAAACACGCACCATACTTTAATGTCCCGCCCGCCCGACCCGACCCGCCCGCTAGGGTCCGCCCGACCTGACCCGACCCGCCCGTTAGGGTCCGCCCGCCCGACCCGACCCGACCCGCCCGCTAGGGCCCCGCCCGCCCGACCCGCCCGTTAGGGTCCCGCCCGCCCGACCCGCCCGTCAGGGTATAACATGAGAGGAGAGATGATCTGTATGTGGGGGTGGAGATGCGGGGGGGATTGATAGCCGCCGCAGGTGGGTGCCTATGCGGGTAGGCATTCTTGGCCTTGCCCTGTTAGACC